AAAATTAGATAAAAGAATGGTGATTATGGAGTCGTCTCGAATCGTTGAATTGCGCCAAGAATTTTTGCACAAAGTTAAAATCTATAGAGAGCAGAAAAGAAATCTGATTTACCTGGATGAAACGCGGTATGATACCCATGATGTTGTGCAGTACGGCTGGGTTGACGACAGCAAGTGCTTTTTAAATGCACCATGCAACCGTGGAAAACGAATCATGCTGGCAGAGAAAATGGATTTATACCTATGCCTTGCTGTTATCTGCCAAAAATATCAAAGAATCAGGTGCCGACTATCATCAGGACATGACCTCCGACTTATTTGAAAAGTGGATAGAGCAGCAGTTAATACCAAACATTTCCCCAAATTCAGTGATTATTATGGACAATGCGCCATACCATTCCCGACAGAAAAACAAAATTCCGAATACAGGCACAAAAAACAAGACATTATTGATTTTATGAAGGATAAGGGAATGGAAATACCACAAAAATCAACCAAAGCCATATTATTGGATCTTATTAAAAGACAAAAATTTGAAAAAGAGTATGTTGTTGACAAACTGCTTCAGCAAAATGGCCATGAAGTATTACGTCTACCTCCCTATTACTGGATTTTTAACCCGATTGAGTTGGTCTGGGCTGCTTTAAAAAAAAAAGTAAGAAAACATCAGACCCTTCAATTAAGTGAATCGCTATTGGCCACAATAAGAGATGCAGTATCTCATATTGCTGCCACAGACCTATGGAAGCAGTGTTCTAGGCATATTATTGAAAAAGAAAATGAATATTGTGTTTTGCCTCCTGTAAATCCCGTTGTAATTCCTCTACAAGATGACTCTAGCGACAGCTCCGAAGGCGAGGATGATATATAAATACCTATAATGTAAGTCTTTATATACCTTTTTATATACCTACCTGCTATGTAAATATTTGCCTATGTCAAACGTTGGAATTCTGTAATTTTTCCATTTCTTAACTTTCAGTCAACATAAATTAAACTCCCAATATAAGTATTTTTTATCCCAAATCAAAAAAATAAGAAGATAGTAAAATCCATTTATTGTGATATAAAAACATTATTATTATCGTTCTAAATAAATAACCGCACGCCTATGATACGTCATGAAATTACAAAGCACGCGCCGACCAAAGGTTTTTATGCTATTTCAAGTGACTTCAGATAAAGTATACTTTCAAATCTTTTGAGGCGTGTTTGTTTTCACGTTCATCGTTCTATCTTCGACCCTTCATAGCCCTAAACAAAAAAACTCCACCGTTTCCGAGCAAACGTCGCGATTGAAAGGGCTAATTTGTGAAAATATCCGGCACACGTGACAGACACGCGGCTGTGCCATGTCAGTGGACCGCACAGAACCAGAACGTGCCGTAACTTAAAGCTACCCGTCCCGTTTGCAGCGAGCCAAGCAAGCGTTAAGCGTACGCCCATTGTTTGCACACCGTGTGCGCGCTTACCATGCCACCGCATCGACGGAGAAACGTCCAAAGACCATCCGACCACCTGTCCGAGGATCGCTATTGCCAAATCGACGCATTTGGAGGATATTTTAAGACTACTACTACTCGTCGTTGTTTCTCAAGGCGGTCCGGAGGACCTTAGCTTTTAGGTCATAGTCACTGTAATGTCAGTGTCTGTGAGGTATGGTGGCCCAGAAACCAGACAAGTTGCAGGGGAAAAGGGGAGAGGGAGAAAGAAAGGAAGGAAGTACGTAGCGAGAAGAGAAAGAACAGGAATTGTTTTATGTAAATATTTGAGGTGTGATAGATCTAAGAACTGTTACATTGTACTACCTAAATTTTTTGCATATGTTAAGACATAACGGTTCTGCCGATGATACCAAAAGACAGTATGCAAAAGCGCTGGTGTTCCCGGTATTTTTTAAAAGGCTGAGACGTGTTATTCGGTCTGGACTTGATACGCAGCAATGAGGCCTTTGAAATGTGGTACAGGAGTAGGATGCTGAAAATACTTTATAATAATAATAATAATAATATTTATTCACTCAATGTACAAAGATAACAAACAATATGAGTAAATAAATATAAAATCAAAACAGGCCCAATAGAAGGCATCGCCTGGACATGGACCAATAACACTGATCAACAGCCAAAAAATATCCTGAATAAAATCAACAAAATATTACTATTTTCAATGTGCTAAAACTGGAATGAAACTTATTTTTTCAATATTAGTTCCAGTTTTAGAGATACGGTAATTATATGTGTTCCTGCTGTGACAGTGTTAATATACTGTAATTCATTAGAATGCACGTGCTACATTTTTATATTCGGCAAGGAAAGATGATGTAATCGGCATGATTGTGTTACGTTATACATACGTGTACATTATATTGTTTTATATTAGCCATTTTTTCCTCAGTTGGCTGACAGCGTTCATGCAAGATGTCTCGAAAGTGTGTAAACAATCAAGATCAGTTTTGTTACGTGTGTGGTGATGTGACTTTTGCGTCTCAGAGACGGTCTAATAACAAAGGCGTATCAGCTTTATTTCGGTTGTAAACTAGGTGATCAAGACAAACAGTGGGCACCCCACATCTGCTGTAATACATGTGCTTCAAGTCTGAGGAGCTGGTTAAATGGCAAAAAACGGTCTATGCGCTTTGCTGTCCCAATGGTTTGGAGAGAGCCTACAAATCATATTAATGATTGTTACTTTTGCATGGTACCTTGTGTTGGACAAGCCACAGGTATGTCCAAGGAAAAAAATCGGTTATTAACTACCCAAACATACCATCTGCGATGAGACCTGTGCCTCACAGTGACGAAAATCCTATTCCAAAACCCCCAGAATCCTACACTTGCGAATCAGAAAACGAATCAGATCATGGCGATCGAGTGATTCGTCAGGAAGAAGATATGCCATCAACGTCAAGAGATCCTGATTTTATACCGAGCACGTCATGCCACCAACCGCACAAAATAACACAGTCAGAATTAAATGATCTTGTAAGAGATTTAGAACTTCCAAAATGTAGAGTTACTTGGATCAAGACTGCAGCAGTGGAAGTTGTTAGAAGACGATGTTTCGGTATGTGTTTTTCGTAAGCGCCACAAAGACTTAGAACCATTTTTCAATATGGAGAATAACTTGAATTTCTGCAGTAACATTAACGGCTTACTGGCGGCTTTAAATATAAACTATAACCCAGAAGAATGGAGATTGTTTATAGACAGTTCAACATTGAGTTTAAAGGCAGTGTTATTGCATATTGGAAATATTTTACCATCTCTTCCTGTAGGGTATGCAGTTCACATGAAAGAATCATATGACAATATGAAATACCTATTGACATGCATAAAATACGATGAGCACCAATGGCATATTTGTGGCGATTTGAAAGTTGTTGCACTTTTACTTGGGCTGCAGCTAGGCTACACAAAGTTTTGCTGTTTTTTGTGTGAATGGGACAGTCGGGCAAAGGCACTTCATTACACCAGACAAAACTGGCCTGTTAGTCAATTCCTAGAGCCAGGTCAAAAGAATTTATAGCATATGCCATTAGTAGATTCGAAAAAAAATTTATTACCATCACTGCATATCAAGTTGGGCCTAATGAAAAACTTTGTCAAGGCATTAGATAGAGATGGGTCAGCTTTTCAATACCTGCGTCAGAAATTTCCAAGACTAAGTGAGGCAAAGGTTAAAGAAGGTATTTTTGTTGGGCCACAGATTCGAAATATTTTGAAAGATACACAAATTGAAAACACTTTAACAGGTATTGAAAAAACTGCTTGGAATGATTTCCGTCTGGTGGTCACTAATTTCTTGGGAAATAAAAAAGCTGACAACTATAAAACCCTTGTCAAAAATATGCTGTCATCGTATCAAAAGATGGGCTGTAATATGTCTTTTAAGATACATTTCCTACACTCACACCTGGACTTTTTTCCTGACAATTGCGGAGCCGTAAGTGATGAGTACGGCGAACGTTTTCATCAGGATATTTCAACAATAGAAAAAAGGTACCAGGGAAAGTGGAATCCTTCAATGCTTGCAGACTACTGTTGGACTCTTGGTAGAGATGCTCCAGAAACGATCCATAAAAGAACAGCAAAAAGGCAGCGCATATAGTGATTCTTATAAGTATATGAATCTTGTTACTTTTTTTAATATATCCTTAAAAATAAAGTTTTTTTTCTGAACCGCAACTAATTTTTTTATTTCATTGTCATTTTTGGATTCAGCGCCCCAAAATTAACAAAGAAGTGCACTTTTCCCACAAGATACAATTAAAAAACTAAAATTTGTTGTCCAGTGTTATAGATAATAATATATGCATTATCTGTAATTTGTTTTTTCTAATAAAAGACGGTTTATTATTATTTTTTTTTACTCAAAATGAAGTTCTTTGGGTAAACTATAGACCGTAGTCCTTTTGAAAGTAGGTAAGTATCCTTCACTATTAACCTCTTGTAATAATTTGTCTTTGTCTGTATCCAACAGCTTCGTGTAATGCAGCCTCTCGTGTGGGGCAGACAGTTTTTTAATATCCTTTAACACTGTGGAAAATTGTCCTAGCACATAAGCCTGTTTTGTTCAGCACACGTCTTTCAACATCATGAATTTTCATTTCAGGATGCTCTAAAATGTCGCTCTTATAAACCTTGAGGACAATTTCTTTTGCCTGAATATTCAAACGTCCCTTCTTGTCACGTTTTCGAGGAGGAGACATCACTGAAGAGGAAACATAGCTGCAGGAAGCATTGGGAGAAATATTCTCAGTTTCATCTGCTGTATCTGTAGATGACATGGCTAACGTATAAACACACGTTATGTGCGCACCGAATATGAACAGCAACTGCCGGCGATACCCCGAGCCTGAGTTCTACCCTGTCGAATCCTGCACTTGACCGAATGACCAATAGCTATTGCAACGCTTACGCGGTTGCCGCTTTGCCGCGCTTCATCTTCGTGGTGTCGAACTACGAATAGAGTATGTGCGTCCATGAAAGTCATCTCACCTGATATGCTGTGTAGGGCGTGGGCGGCCAATCAGCGGCAGCCGCCGCTCCTCCAGCTGCCGTAGGCTGTCCGGGTGCGGGTGCCCCGTCCGCCCCGATGTAGTACCCCGCTGGGGCCGCCGCTGGACCGCCGCCAGGCGAGGTGTACCTAGGTGAGCCATCGTGCGGCTGTTGGGATGTGCCGAACTCGTCGCTGCCATACTGAAAAAGAAAACAGAAATTAACAATCACTACGTATACGCACAAAAAAGGGTGATTTGGTTCAAGAACAACTGTCTTCAATTGAGGACCAAGACGTCGATATGTATCTATCGTTGAAGGTTGCATACTGACCTGACACACTGACCCCGACCCAGTTCTGCCTTGAGACCTTGTAACAGTCGGGGATATCGCGGCGGGTCGCGGCTACAGGACGGTATTCAGATATTTTTGATGTTGCAGAGCCCTTTATCTCGGTTCCCTTAAGACATTGGTGTATATGGTACTAAGAAAAATTGCTTATGTTTTCAAGATCTACACGTCGTGTAAAGGAAAACCCCAACTTTGCGGATACCCTGTATAGGTGTCAGTTAAGTATGAGAAATGCTTTTATTATTGAAGCAACCATTGAGGCATTTGGACATAACACTGACGAGTTTCTTAAAAGAAAGAATTCGTACCGGAAAGCGAAAGGAGCGCGCAGAAGCTGTAAAGCTTGATTTCCAAAGCGAGGTATCGGATACTGTAACTGACCACTAAGATGGAAAATTCACAAGGCCTGATATTCCAATGTGTAAAAAGTTTCGCTAGAGGTGAAAAAGTGTGGATGCCGAGAAAATACAGTTATATAGTAAAGAGCCAAATGAATGCCTGAATATTTCAGAGATTGACAAGCTGCTAGAATTAATAGAACTTTCAATAATATTCCTTCGCGGAGATCCAGAGAAAAAAATTAAGATTCGACCGCCAATATTGAATATAAAAAATGAGAAAATGTTATGCGATTCTTTGATATTGATTAAAATATCTTATTGCAACACTGTTTATTATCGCTGTCTGAACGAAATAGCAAAATACAGGCTGCCAAAAGTTCACAATACATGCTCCCGCTGTATAAACAATTCAAGAAGGTTTCTTAATTGGTTAAAAATATCCAATAAGTTCAAATACAAGTTTGTCGCAAAAACTTTTCAAAAAAAACCTATAAGACCTGTTTATTAAATGCTTGTTTTCATTTATTTTTCTCTCCAATTTAAATTATATGTTGATTAAATTGAAATGAGATGAATGAAAATCTTACAATTTTACATACTAGGCGTTTATATAAAAACGATCACTGAAAAAATGCAGAGGTACAAGTAACAATATACGGGGCGGCGCATCGAAAACGAAACAGACGCATTTACTGGCAGCTTAGTTTTTTTTTGGCAAAAAGCTCAGACCCGTCGATTTTGTTTTCGAGGGGGACACAAGTTTGGCAAAAAATCACGTTAACACGTGCAGCCCCCTGGGCGGGGGTGACACCAACCCTAAAATCTTAAATGGAAAGGGGGGTCGAGTGATACCTTATTTTAAAGGTCTTTCAATTCCCTTTATAATGATATAAAAAACATGAGCTTCAGTTCAGTAGTGTTGAAGATTTATTGATTTAAAGCCTAAAGTAGACTTTAATAGGTAGATCAGATTAGTTTTTACTACTTTCAGAAGAAATTTGACTAAAAGAATTTACTTAATAAGTAAATGCTTTTCTTCACTACGTCCATGGTTTGTTTATCATTTTGTTGTTGAAAATACCTATTGGGGCGTTTTTTTTGTGGCAAAAAAGTTATTTCTTGGAAAGAGATAAGGAAATATCTCGTACTTATGTTAAATAGGACTTTAGTACATAGTTTGCGATTGATTTGACCAAACTTGGTTGCTAAAATAACTTGTAACGCTTTATTACATAAATTAACCTTGGTATCTATATTCCACAGCAGAAAGAGTTGAAATTATCGAAATATTTTTCGGAAATAATCAGTGCGCTAATAGAACAGCAGAAATATTATTATTATTATTATTATGATAATTGAGATGAGCAGAGTACACAGTACTATAAGCTCATGCAGTAAATATAGTGTACGGACACGTAACACAAATACATCAAATAGAAAAAAATAAAAAAGACAGTTCATAGCTATAAAGTTTCTACACTCCTCCAGCTATCATACTGCACTTTGAAGCTATTAACTGAAGTAGCACCAACCACACTTTCAGGTAAACTATTCCAGGTGTTGAATATGCGGTTGGGAAGAAACCACTGTCGGACTGTTGTTTTAAATGGCTCCTTATGCAGTTTGAAGCTGTGTCCGCGTAGATTGCTGCGCGACAGACGGTATAGATGCATGAGGTTGGTGCCCATCAAACCATGAAGTATCCTGAACGTAACTATAAGATCGCCACGAAGTCTTCGCTCAGAGAATGAGGTCAGGTTGAATAATCCAAGGCGATCTTCATAGCTTGGTCTTCGTGCTCCAAAAGGGATCCGAGTAGCCCGACGCTGTACCGATTCGACGAGATTTCTATCGCGCAGAAGCACAGTGTCCCATACCGGGCCAGCGAATTCAAGAATTGGCCTCACGAATGCCATGTAAATGTAGGCGCAAGTGTTGACATCGGATCCTTTGAAAGACCTCTCCAGCATGTATAGAAGTTTCTTGGCTTTTGATGTAACGTGGTGAATAAGCTCTGACCAGGAAAGACGATCATTGACTACAACGCCCAGATCAGTGTGGCTGGAAACTGCTTCGATGTTGTGGTCTGAGATCTTGTATGTAAATCGCGGATTTGTCTTCCCGAGGTGAAGGACACAACACTTAGTTAGATTTAAGGGTAAAAGCCAACTGGCTGACCATTGACAAACAATATCAAGATCTCGTTGAAGCATAGCAGAATTTACGACAGTATTATAAATCTTGGTGTCGTCGGCATAAGCTGAACATGTGGAGGAAATCAATGCGGGCAGGTCACTTGTATACAGAAGGAACAGCACTGGCCCCAAGACAGAGCCTTGAGGAACTCCACTTGCTACATGATGAAGGTGAGACTGGCTATCACTGACACGCACACAGAAAGTCCTCCCGGTGATAAAAGCCTTAATCCATAGTAACAACTCGCCTCTTATTCCCATACATTCCAACTTAAACAGAAACCTTCTATGTGGTACGCGATCGAAAGCCCTAGAAAAATCTAAGTAGATTATATCAACAGGAGTCTTTGTGTCCAGATACCGAGTCCAATCGTTGAGAGAGTGGAGAAGGTTGGTCATTATTGATCGACCAGGGAGAAATCCATGCTGATTCTTAGGGATAAGGTCATTTTCGAAAGCAAATGACAGGAGCTTATCTAATATGATTCTTCCAGCTATTTTGGCGGCGATAGGAACGAGACTTATTGGTCGATAATTTTTAGCGGAGGATTTGTCGCCCTTTTTGAATACAGGGGTAACAGAAGCACTAAGCCAGCATGAGGGTAGGGTATGAGATCTAGAAGACGATGTGAATATCAAGCTTAATGGTAGGGCCAGTGCTGAAGCGCAGTTTTTAAGTACAGCAGCCGTCATCCCATCTTTACCAGGGGAGGAAGAGGTCTTCAGATTTCGCAGGTGCATTAATACATCTTCAGGCAGGAACTCAACTTCGCAAAGGCTGTTGGGACACCTATGGCAGATAGTGGTCGGTAGAAGGTCTCCATTAGGCTCATCGAGGAAGTCATCACTAAAGGACTCTGCCAGTAAGTTGGCAGATTCGGTGGCATCCATGTGAAGATGACCGTCAGCGTCGCGGATCTGAGGTGATGAAACTTTGGAATTCAGGTTTGTTCTTAGATACCGAAACAGCTTCTTCTTATTTTTGGAGGTAACGAGTTTTCGTTCATAAGCATTATGTAACGTTCTAGATAGGATGAGCGCCATGAGAACAGTAACGAGAATCGAAAATATGTTCTAGAACTTGTAGTTAAATTTCGGGAAACTGGGTCAGTCGCCAATAAAAAACGTAACATTGAAAATTGAAAGTGGGGGTTTTAGGGCAAGTTTATGTAGATCCTACGTTAAGTACCCGCAAATTGGAGACTGTGTGTGGTGTTAGTCGACGTACTGTCCAACGGATTCTAAAGGCCTATAGTTTTCATCCGTATAAAATTCACCTGGTACAAGAACTTAATGAAGACGATTTTGATCGGCAATTACAATTTTGTGAAGATATGAGTCAAAGAAATATAAACGATGAACATTTTCTATTCAACACTTTCCGACAAATGTTCGTTTTTCTTAAATGACTGATGGGTTGGTAGAAGAGGAGCCATTGAATGGCCCCCAAGTTCGCCAGATTTATCACCTTTGGATTTCTTTATGTGGGCTCATTTAAAAAGCAAAATCTATGCTATTCAGCCAACATCAATAGAAGACCTGCGACAAAGAATTGTGAATGAGTGCCTTGAGCAAAATATTTATAATTGTATGAAGAGTCATGGTGGCCATTTTCAACATTTACTTGCCTAACTGGTCAGTACATTCATTTTTAAATTAATTTGCTGCCAAATGTACTGATCTCCACTAATGATGATGATTAAGTAAATTCTTTTAGTCTAATTTCTTCTGAAAGTAGTACAAACTAATCTGATTTACCTATTAAAATCTATTTTAAGCTTTAAATCAATAAATCTTCAAAACTACTGAACTGAAGCTCTTATATTTTATATCATTATAAAGGGAATTGAAAGACCTTTCCTCCCCTTTCCATTTAAGATTTAGGGGGTGGTGTCACCCCCGATTAGGGGGCTGCACGTGCTAACCTGATTTTTTGCCAAACTTGTGACTCCCTCGAAAACAAAATCGACGGGTCTGAGCGTTTTTCCAAAAAAAAAAACTCCTGCCAGTAAATGCGTCTGTTTCGTTTTCGATGCGCCACCCTGCATAAATTCAACAGTACGCATACGTTTTTGGCTAAAATGTTCAACTAAAATATTCACTTATGGAATACGAGCATGAAATTATTTAAAATATGTTCAAACTGAACTGTGTTAAGTTGATGAAGACTTATTGGTAGATTATTGTACAGATCTAAACGTGGGAAATTCTGGCTAAATTCTGTTTTGAAACCGATAACGATTTTTCGTCCTTGGAATAACAGCATCCTTGTATAAAAATCCAAATCTGAGACGTATTTTTCAGGCGCGGTTACAAAATTAGCAGACCGATGGAAATGGGAGACATGGTAACATCCAAAAAACATATCTCATTTTCAAAATTTTTGTGTGAGACCCAACCGACCCCTGAACTCAAATGCTAGGTCCTAGGTTATTCCCTA